GTTATACAGATATGAGATGAGAGGGGGGTAAGTAAAGGCAGTGGGAAGCAAAGACATTGGCCTAAGGTTAATCAATAGGAAATGTGTTTCTGTCCTTTATCTGAGTTCATGAGAAGAGACACTTCACGTGATTTCAGGCAGTACAGGCACTTCAGATGCTTTCTATTCAAAGAAGACCATCTCATTGCGTATGTGCTTATCTACAGAGCTCCATCGTTTTCATTCCTGCCTTGCTTTAAGAACCTTACTATGGACCATTACTGTTACTTTACTATGGGACAGAGTGCTGTCTCCAAATCTACAGCCACTGCATCCACCAAACTTGGTCTGCAATTACCGGTATTTATGATGAAGTTTAAAAAAGGCCATGTGCCTGAATCATTATTTAAGGCTCCGCTATTTTAAGTGGCAGATGGAATAGACTTAAGTAGGCTAGGTGGAAAGCCAGGAGATGAAGGGGAAAATGGAGCACTGTCATGAACTCATGAATTCAGTCAGTTGATGTTCTGTCCTGGGACTTGCTCTTTTTCCCCTTGCTCCATGACAGAAAGGTATGTCTGGGAGGACTGTGCCTTAGATCTGAAGTCTGCTCTGCTCCAATCACATCAGATACCGCATGACTTTTTAGTGCAAACCAGTACTAATTGTGCAGATCACCTACTCACTTGATATATCCTCAGTATCTAGGCTCTGATAGCTGTCAGACCACTTTGCTCTATGAAACCTGCTCTGTATGGATGCTCTACATTTCTTCTGACAGGTTTCTACAAATCATTTAATCAAACTCTTCCATTCTTACTAAGAGAGGCCTGCAGCAGCAGTCTTGCCAACTACATGCCAGACTGAAGATCTAGAGGCAGTTCAAAGGAGCTTGGAACAGGTGAGGATAAAAGAAAGTAGATCTTCCTCTCCTAAACCCTGCGAGATGGTTGGAGGGGGGAAGAAAAAAAGAAAAAAAAGGTGCCTATGTTGTTTCAAGAAAAAAATGTTTCAGTCTTCTGGGAGAAAAAATATGCGAGGTTCAGGAAATCTGGCTGTAATCATGAGAAAGAAAGGGGACACTGCTTCAGGCCTATGAGAAAAAAAAAAATCAGGTGTTTTAAAGGGGATATAAAAAGAGGTAAATATAGGGGCAACAGGAAAGCAAAGGTTCCCTCAAAACCTCAACTTGCTTTCATTACCACCATACTAGTGACAACAGGTGTTATCCCAATGTTTGTGGATTCGGTTTTTTTTACAGCTGCCTTTATCCAGCAATCTGTGCAGAAAGACATGTCATTTTTAATCTTCAGCCTATCTTCCTTTCAGCACCGTCCTTCTTTATTGGATTCAAAACTCACCAGGGACTTAGATGTTTCCCAGAACAAATACCTGTCTTCCCATACTTCTTTGGTTACTACTGCACAAATAAAACATCTTCTGATTGAATCTAGTCAGGTCACTGCTGGCCATTGCCAGCACATTGTTTAATAACAAGTCAGGAGTTTTACAAAGGACTCTTATTCCACCTCAGAGGCTGGTATAACAGCACACTAACAAGGAAAAAGCCAGGACAAAGCAATTTGGGTTTCTGCATCATCAGCAACAGTAAAGGAAAAATATGATTCAAAAGAACAAAAGAAAAAGTGTTTTAATCCTCTCGATTTTTTTTTTCTTCAGCTTGATTGGTATTATTGATAGCAGGATTCCTCCTATGGAAAATTTCTGCTTTACTAGTGTGAGAATGTGATTATGTGGGACGATGAGCGTTGTATCATCCCACAGAGCCGTGGGAACTGCCTGTGTGCACCTGAGGGATGGATCAAACCTTTACTATTAATGCGAACACACAAACTATGAGATTCACAGCAGTAGCAGATACATTTAACAATGCCCTGTGAAGTGCCCTGAGCACATCTCTGCAGAGGCTGCACTGGAGATGAATGCAGCTCCATAGCACATTTGGTTTATGCACAAATTCCTCATTTTTCCTTCTCAGCATATTTCTTTTTGTTTGTGTGCTTGTTTGTTTTGCGTTGTAAAGACAGCATGGCTCACTTTTAAGACCACCTACATGTAGACCTTGAGGAACCATCCTTGACTTAGATCTTTAGGAGCTATCTCAATGACTCATTGCCATTCAGTCAGCATGCCAACAAAAATCAAGTCCTCTCCCATAAGTTGGGCTTCACTTTTCATTATTTAGGTGCTAAATGAAATGTTTACTGGCTTATTTTTCATTGCACAGCCAAGAAAGAAGGATTGGTTCATATGTGACAGAACTGGAGAAAACAAGGCTGGAATAGGTTTTCGCAGTAAAAGGGAGTTCCTGGCTGAGTTCTACTTCCTTCTCAGTTGTGTTGGGGTCTCCTGGCAACACAAACACAGATGGCAGATGATTTCATTACTTGCTGCTACATCTGAGCTTTCTGACCCTCAAAATATCTTTTGGTGTATGGTTCCTTAGGGTTTAGGACAGTAGAACATTTCTACTGGCATGGAGGGTGGGTTGTGAATGGAGGACAGAGGGTTGCATAAGGAACTGAGGAAGACAGGAACTGGGGACAAGATGACATAAGATAGATTTGGAAGAATAGGGACTAGATCCTGTTCTTTCCCCTTCCCACTTCAGCATAACTGAGGACTAAGCTTCCCATCAATGCAGCAGCTACTTGGGCTGGGACAGCAACAGTAATGGTGAAGCTCATCTCCAAAAGCAGAACACCCATCTCACTAGTTGATCATCAAAGCAATACTCTTTGCCATGCCAACCAGATATTTAACCTGCTCTTAAAATCTCCAGTATGAGAGATCCCACAGCCTTCCTAGCAGTTATGTTCCAACACAGCAGGTGTGCTCCAGTCTCTTCCTTCAGACAGGACTGCCTTTGGGACTCCATCTGCACTGACAGAACAAAGGAAAATCAAGAGGGTGATGGGTGAGAAGCATAAAAATATGGAGCAGTTGCAGAACTTGAGCCTTCCCAGAGGTCTCCTCTACTTTCACTCTCAGCAGGCACTCATGAGTGAGGTAGATGGGTGGAGTGGAGAAGCAATAAGGAACTGATAGATTTCTCCTCTGGGCCAAGATGTGGGACTATCAGATCTAGCCTTCAGGGTCTTCTATTGTTTTTTTAGCCAGGAATTATCTAAATTCTCTCATTTCACCCAATTAGTAGGTGCCTTCTTCCACCCAAACTAAAACAGGAAAAAAAGCCCCAAAAAATAGGACTCAATTATCAAAACTCATTTCTTCTTGGGACACTTTGAAGAGGTTAAGTATGATGATGATGTGCATAACCTAGAATTTGTGTAGGGGAAATCTGTAATGTAATATGAATCTGGACTGCCTTCACTGGAGCATCTTTAGAACTTTTGAAAACAGATGTAACTCTACAGACACTGAGACAGCCTCATGCTGGTTAACGCTGGCTGGACACTAGATTTTTTTTGCGTGATACAGTGGGAATTTGAAAAGATGGACTATCTTAATTGACAGCATGTACAGGGAAGTACTTAATTGCTGCAGTCATTTTTAATGCTGAAGTTGACAGCAAAATTTAAATCTTGAAGTCAAAGTTCAAATACCAGAAGAACAATTTAGAAGAGATCTTCTGTGTTAGAAGCTGGATACATTCCTACCATATTATCTAATTGTTTTTGTGTTATTTACTCAAGCATTTATAAAAGATTCAGCATCGAAGCAGGGAATATAGTTACAATGAATAATTTGCATTGTAAATTAATTCAGGTCTCCAACACTATGGGAATTAGCATTATAAGCACAGTAAAAAGGTTGAAATGGAAGTTCAAACTGATGCACCATAAATATTCCCATTGAATGTTTTAAGCTTTTTTTCTTTCCATTAGCATAGATTATTCTGTTTATAGATGCTGGGGTGAAAGAAGATTCCTGCTGTTAATATGAAAGACCCTCTTGTTAGGAATGCTCAAGAGGAAGACTTAGCATAAGACTTTGTAGGGATGCTCCACTCTAGGAAAGCAGTAATTCTTTCACTTAGGTCACTGCCAATCATCATGTTGTAATCCAGTGGGGGAGTCCTCCACCTGTTTCTCCTCTGCTACTAGCATAAGATTTTTCTCAAGGATTATCATTGCACAGCACTTAGTGCAGTTGGTTCTAAGTTCAGGTTGAACGCTCCTAGACAAGACAGCACAAATAGTACAGAAATACCAGTCAGGTAATCCAACAAATAATACAGAAATATCCAACCAGGCTACTCCTATTAAAATATATTCCTGTAACTCAGGCTATGTACATACAACACATATGATGGCTGATGCACATCTACCTATTACTTTCCACTAAGTTTCCTTTCCTCCTGCCCTTTCTCTTCTCCCTGTAGCCCTAACTCTTCTTCACAGACTTTCCTTCACTGACATATCCATTTGACCTTCTGTACCACTGAACCAGGGAAGGGAAGTGTTTCTATGCAGTTTCATTGATTTGTGTTCATCATTTCATGAGCACCTGTGGGGATAAAGCTCCTCTAAAGATGTTTCTCTTGTTATTTAAGAAAACTTCTAAGTTCTTTAATGGAAGAAAAATTGAAATTAACCCAAAGCAAAATGGAAAGATTTCATTCCATCTCCTTTGGTCTAGATCTGGGCATTATCTGTCAGGGAATGCAAAATGCCTTATGTTATCATGCACTGCCTTATAAAAAAGAAAACTTGCCCCCAAAACTTGCAACTTGACACACTCAAATCCCAGCTTCCCTTAATGAAGTACTCTGTGCTCACTGAATTTTTTTCTGCATCAATAAGCCATGCACAGTTCTCTTCCTGAATACAAATAGGCTTTAGGTCCTACACTCAGAAGCCACCATTACAGCTCATCCAATACATCAGTCAATGAAACCATGTACATGCTTGGGAGTGTAAAAGCCATGACCGTTTTTCAAGACATACACAACCTAGACAGAGTTATTAGCGGGCTTGAGTAACCCCGTAAGTGTCACACACCCAACCAAGTTAGAAGCATGCAAACAGATTACTCACCTCAAGCACAAGAAAAGCATAAAGGCAACTATAAGGGCCCCTACTGATATACAGTGCCCCAGGTAGTTTATGATGAGAGCAATCTTGTAATGGAGCGCATACTTCCTCTGGAGGTAAAGAGATAACATGATTAAATCAGCATGACTCTCTAAGCACTGACATTAAGGAACAGTTAATCAGTTTAGGAAACAGTAATTACTTTTGTCGACTTCAAAATGATATAATAGGCCCAGGGCTGATGCCTATGTATAAGCCAACATGCTGCCCAGGCACAGAAGTACAGGCTTGGTTTCATTTCAGTTTGGGATTTTTCCATAGTTTCTTACAAATCTCAGCAAAGGTTTTCCGCCTTTTTTCTGTAATTTCCTTGGGTTTTCTTATTTTCATTATTACGCTATTTTAAAACTTTGTTGTTTTAGGGTGACAAAGCTACCAAAGACACATCTTCTCACAGTTTCGAAAGTTATAAAACATTATTTTGTTAGGGAACTTCATGGTCTTAATGAGCCAGCTTATGCTACTTTCCTACTCAAATGGTTTGGTTTTCATACAAAAATGAATCAGTTGTCAGTAAGAATAAATAATAAGCTTTTTCCATACAGGCAGATTTTTCTCTGAGGTACATTCCTTGCAAGCTACGATGCTTATCTTTCAAATTGAGGGCAGAACCAATGCAGACTGAAAGAGCTAGAATCTGCTGGTGTCCTTTCAGTTTTGAGAGAGCCTGACAAACCAGAGATCCTGTTGTTTTTAGCAGCGACCCAAGTATGTGGTGTAACTTAATGTATTAGTGTCTATTTCCTAGGATGCTGAGGAGATTATTGGTAGGTTCTTGATCCCGTAAACAAAAAATTAAGTACAAAAGTGCTCCCACCTAAATCAGTGAATTTAGTGATGTGACCAAAATTTGACCTTGAAATAACTGGAACATTCTTTATTGGTGGGCTGCTGCTGGCTTCAGAGAAAAAAGAAGCATCTCCTCTCTTTGCCTGATGGATAGGAAGAAGTAGAAAAACACTATTCAGATAAATACTGAAGATGGTTAAAAATTGACAGAGGTTTGTCACTTAAAGAACAAAACCCCCTGAAAAATGATATTTATTTATTTATTTATTAGCTTTGGCATAAAACCCCCTGAAAAATGATACTTATTTATTTATTTATTTATTAGCTTTGGCATTTGTTTCTTTTCAGGTTAAGCAGATCTTTCTGATGACTTTGGGATGTTGTCCTCCTCCAGAAGAACGAGACCTTTGAAAAATAACCACCTAAACTTCCTCCCTTGTGATAAAAATATAGAAGTAAAGTCCTACAAATGGCATCAGTTTTCTAATTCTGGTTGAACGTCCTTTGTTTCATTTTTTCTAACAATTTCCCTTAACATTTTATTCCAGTCAAAGGAATTTGTTAGTGAATGTTTGGATGAAATTACAACCAGCAGCTGTAGTTAATCTGTTCCATTGTTCTGTGAAGATAGCATCTTTCAGCACTTTGCCACAGAGAGAGCATGCCCCCTTGGAATCATTTTCATGACGAAATCTGCCTATATCTTCAGCACATGGAGTAATGTGCTGTTTCTGGACAGAACTCAACCATGCAAGGTATTTTTAAGTCTGCTATAAAATCCCCTAAAATAAACTTCCCTGTGCACAGGCCCATTTTCTGAATAGCCTTGAGGAAGAAAAACAAGAAACCACAAGATCTGAATTCCACACTGAGGTTTATTTATGCTTAAGTCATGGGGACACCTAAAGGGGAGGAAAACACGCTTGAACTGATGTGCCTACCTGAAATGCAATGTTGTACTGTTCAGCTAGTGCCCTGGCAAACTGCCTTGCTTATTTATTTTCCCACTTAATTCATGGAATCATAGAATCATAGAATATCTCAAGTTGGAAGGGACCCATAAGGATCATTGAGTCCAACTCCCTGCTTCTTGCAGGACTACCTAAAACTAAACCATATGACTAAGAGCTTCGTCCAGAACTGCTCATGTAGTGCTAGAAATTGTCTAGAAGATGACAATGTTTTTCCCAGACGAAGGATCCTGCTCTTTGAATCTGACCCTTCAGCTCCCTCCTTTGGCTCCTAACCACTATTTCAACTTCACTCAAGTTTTAAGAAGGTATGGCTCAAAACACGAGAGAATTAATCAGAAAAAACCATAGTTAAGCTCCTCTTTGACGCACTGATGTTGAAGGAAAAACAGGCATGACTTTTATTTTTTCTCTTGCTGACACTAACAAGGTTTCCTGAAGGCAAATTCAAATATCACAGAAACAAGAACTGCCTTGGTGCCTATGAAAAACTAAGCTGACAGGGTGGCAAGATCACTTTCCACCAGCCTACATGCAATCTGCATCTCTGGTAGAATTGGAGACAACACCTTCAGGGCTGAAAAACACGTGCCCAGAATCAGTCATGTGTTGGCCAAAGCTCAGTTCATGTAAAATACTTGCATAACTCTTTTCTGTCTCACCCTCTTGAAGACTGATACATTTAAAATGGTAACAACCTTCTACTGTTACCCAATATTCCTCTGCTTCCAGGACGATATTTCACTCCACTAAAATGCAGATTTAAATCCTATTCAGGCTTAAGAGGAAGGTCATTACATTAGAAAGGAGATAGAAAAGGAGAACTAACTCTGTTAGCCTTGCTCTCCGGACCACAGCAGGTCACATCACTGGAGTCCTCTTCCATGCCGTACCTTATGCATGACAATCCTGTTACATCAGACAGTGCAGATTCATCTTCCAGCCAGCTTCTACCAGGTAAACCGAGGAAGCACAGCTTTATGTCTCTCCCTGCACCAGCTTTGCAAATCTAAGGCACACTGGGCTCCCTGCAGCCAGATTTCAGGCTAATGATGGAGTCATTCTGTCTAGAGGACTTTTTCCTTTGCTGTAGCTAGGACGTGACTGCTAACCTGTCCAAACCAAATCAGCTAATGATTTGAACTAATAATGACCTAATGACAGCACTCTTAGCTCTCCAGATGACAAGGATCTTTCTCCCTCTAACAGAACTTCCTGACAGGTCCTGCCAGTGTTTACAGCACATCTTCCTGCAAGACTCTGCACTCCATTCCCAGTTCAGTCACTTTAGATTTCTTCCTGTTGCCAGGATGATCTCATCACCAGTAGAGTTTAAAGACACTATATCTCCTCTCCAAAGACTTTCAGAAGCAACTGGGAAGTATCTTTGTCATCCAAGATGCCTCTGAGTTCACTGCTTTCCTGTTCTGAGCCAGCTGGAAGCTGGATAGCTGTGGCTAATGCGACTGTGCTCCTAAGCAGGATACATTAACTTAAGCCCAGCATGGTGCTAACTCAGTTACACAGCTTGAAGCCACCTCAAAACATTAGCAGAACCAAATTCACATCCAGCTGCCATAGGCCACATAGACAAGACCAAAGTTCCTAATTTATAGCTCTTTTTGGAGGTTAAGATGTATTTTTTGCTGCCTGAGACTCTCATTTGTCTTCTAAGAGCACAGATTTGTGCCAGAGGCAGCAAAGATCCCTTTGACACAGGAGCTTGTGGGCCGAGTAGAAGCTTTCCATTTGTCACACATTATGCCATCAAACAGCCAGTTGGATCAAAATGATTTCTGTACCTGACACCTGTGCCTGGAGAAGGAGCTAACTGATTGTTCAGAGGATGGGATTCAGTCTGACGTTAAGACAACTACATTTGGGTATCTATCCAAAACCTGAACCAATATCTGAAGCAAGGGCTAGAAGCAGTTATGTACACACAGGCACCTAATGCTCCTTGAGGTGCATGCAGGAGACTCTGTGCTTCCTAGTTGGTCCTGGTGACCGACCTCCAATTGCTGCTGCTGCAGGACACGGGTATTCCAGAAGGCCTGTGTCACACCTGCCAGATGCACGGAGAACACTGGCATTTTAAACTACACCGCATAACTACATGCAGGCAACTAGATCCCAGACAAAGTGGGAATCTAGGAGCAAAGCAGTCCCAGAGCACAGTTTTATCAGCTACTGCCACAGGTCTTGACCATAAGTAAAGCAATGGTGTATTAACGTAATCCAGTGAATGTGTGTTGCAGGAGCTTATGCCCCCTAAGATTGACCTACAGCTGAATAAACCCAAAATTTCCCTTGCTGCATTAACAACACTTTGTCATAAAGCATGTAGCACTGGACATGGGGTTGATTTTGAAAAATCCTGTTCTTGTCCCATATGTCAATCACTGCTTTTGAAGTCAAACCATGTAATTTTTTAGCACTCTGGCTAAAGTAGTGTTGTTTTCTGTATTAAAAATAAACATGAAACACAGGGCGTACCTCCTGGCTGATGCTTAGCATCTGCTAGGATCAGTCAATAAATAACAATAGACTCACATGTATGCTTGCATCTCACCTTTAATCAAAATGGAGGATTACGGAAATCCATGGGGATTTTTCTTTTTGTTTTTTTTTGAGATCACAAAGCAACCCAAATATTCATCTGTAACACTGAGCATTATGTAGAGATTTCAAAAATATTCACAAATATTAATATTTGCAAAGCTTGTCACAAATCTTTAAAGAACTAATAAATGAGTTTTTAAGCTTTTGCAAACAAGGGTGGGGGAACATTTGCACTTTCATCTGTTTAAGGAACGTGCAATTTAAGAATTTTTTAAGCTATCACCATAGCTGCAAAGTTTTAAAAAGCAAAAACAGAGCAAAGGAAATAATCCTGTCCTCTAGTCACAACACTTCTCCAGCGTCTTCAAATAAAACTCCACTGTATTTGTGCAGAGATAGCAACTGTTCAAGTCATGCAAACACATAAAGAGTGTCATTAAAATACAGCAGCATTTTCCTGAGTTGGTACAGCAGAGTGCTACTATCAGCTCAGGTTTCCCATACCAGCTAAACACATCAAAGATTTTGAGTCTTCACCCAGCTCTGTTCCCCATTCTCTAAATCAGCACTGGCTGCTACACACCCCCTCTCTTGCTCATTTTTAAGAGGGTGGTTTCACAGAAGTGCAAATCCATTTCATTCAGAGATGGTCTGCTACCACGGTCTGCTGTCCCCCTCAACCCCAGCCAGGCTTTCACTCCCCTTGCTTGGGCTGGCCCCAGCACTCCTGCAATAACGCAAGAAGATGGTTTAGGGAACCGATTCATCTGAAAAAATGACCCAGCAAAAAGTTAGGTTTTCATTTTAAGTGGGAAAGAAATGTAAGGAGGGGCTGTACTGGTGTGGTCCTTAGATCAGCTTAAATTGCCATGGGAGCCTCTCCACTATGCTAGACCACCCTGAACGTGTATCAGTCCCTCTGGATGGCAGTCATGTACTGGTACATTTTTTCTTGCTTTCTAGAAGCCTCTAGCAAATGGAGGTGGGGCGGGGGGTGGGCTACCACCAAATTACCTAGCCAGTGGGTAAGAGTAGGCACTCCTCAGCAGCTGGTGCGTAGTTACCTGTTTTCTGATTCACTTGTCAAAGCCCACATTCAGCAACAACATGGATCTTACAGGATGGATGCTGGGCCACAGCCAAAGCACATCATGACTGTTTTGGGTACAGCACTAGCCCAGATAGTCCCGAGTACTAAATCCGGATTAGCTCTGCAAGCAGCCCTCAGCAGGTGAGACCTTGTCTTCCACACCTCTGTTTACAACTGGCATGGCACAACTCCAATGACAGAATGAGTGGAATGAACCCCAAAACATAAACAGCCCTGAGCTGCTGGGCTCCACCCTGGTTCTTAGAGGGGAAAGTCATCCCTGCCAGAGAGACAGCACAATGCCTTTGTGTGCTTGTGTCCCACCATAGCACTCAAAACAGGAGGAAGAGAAAGAGAACACGGCATGAAAGGCTTGAAAGTTTAAACTGTGTGAGGGTGAATGTCTATGATGCCTCCAAGAAAAGCTGAGATATTTGACAAGAAAAGGACTTTGCATAATGGCTTGCAGCCTTTCTGAAGGAGCTTATCCCTATATGCTAATTTCATTCTGTAAACTCCTATATAATGCAAGACTGGCTCAATCTTTTAAAGACAGCTGGGACCCAAGTCTGCTTTTTATGTATTTTTCTGCTGCTGCCCCTGTACATATTTGCTGAAGGAAAAATGACATTGAGATCCCGAAAGGCCAGTTGTTGATGAGACCTCAGAACTGACAGGTACAGGGTGGAATCAGCTGGTGAAAGCTTATTTTTCAGTGCCAAAGAAGCTTTTGATCTTATTGTTATTATTACTAACATTTACTGTAGCAGCCATAGGCTCTGAACTAAGCTAAGAAGGATCTGTATAAACATACATCATCAGGGACAGAGTGTAATAAAGCATCCTTTTTTAAAAACCATGTGAGTAGGGGATATGGAAAGAGGATAAGTGATTTGCCTGAATTCACAGGGAGGATTTGTTACAGGGACAGACATGGAATCCATCTCAGAAGTCCCAAATTAGTATGTTAACCTTAAGCTTAGCTTTGCATTCATGTATGTTGAAAAATGTCATTGAGAAGAATGAAGTGAAAAATACAGACCTTGTCATCCAGAATAGGCTCGCACTGAGAGTAGTTTATCTTGGAAGCCCATGTCCCATTGCCCAGGCATTCTCTGTAGGCATTTCCTGGTACGGACCAAAATAAAAGAGAGATGAACACTCTGTGCTGGACCTTAAACAGCCTAGCAATTTCACAGATTTAAGAAAAGGTTACAGAAGAGATTATTCACAAGGCAAAGCAACTTATCCCACCTCCATGAGGACTAGAACAGCCTGTTGAGAAGGGAAGAGGAGAAATAAAGGACATAAACACATCTAGAGACAACAAGTATTTAAAGATAATTAGTGATAATGTTTTCCTACAGCACATGGGTTCAGAAGACAGGAAAAGTACAAGAAGAGCCTTGCAAGAAAAAGCTTAATGTTAGTATAGTCTTTTAAAAAGCAGTTAAATGATGTATTCAGAAATGGGCAGAAAAGTTTAGGTCTTTAGTGCTCTATCTAGGAGAATGGTATGTGTATGGTAAACTTATTGCTCTAGTCCCCTCCCATTTATCCCACTGTAAACTAGAAACAACATTCCTGGAGATACTGATTTTCTACAGTCTTCCTATGCAACAACATTATTGGTAAAACTTCTGCAAAGAACCTGAAAAAGGAGCAAGAAAACCACATCTCCCAACTCTGGGGCAGGCAGGCTGGGGATGCCACACAGGAATGTCTCTGAACAGATTTCAGAAATGCATACACCTAGGTTAGGGTATGTTCACCCATCCTCTGTGAAAATGAAACTACTTCAGATCTTTTTCCAAGATCTCCAAGAATGCGAGTGAAAATCACTAATTACTGAAGCCAATTGCAACGTCACCCTGAGGAGCTCTGGGAACCCTGTGTAGTAATATTGGGGGCGAGGAGGGGAATTCAATTTCTGGCCAGCACTTCTCTTAATCACAAGGAACTCAAAGAAAACTACACAGTTTTGCTGCACAGACTACCTTCCTCCACCCATCAAAAGCACATCCAATCCCAAGCAATAGGTTTTTTCCATGCTTATTTTGAACTGTGTCTTAGAAACAAGAGAATTAAAATAAAACAGGAAATTCAGAAAGATCCCCAAAGGACACACATAAACAACTTCCTAATGAACTCTTCATGATGTTCTTGCTGCCTTTTACCCAATTTCTTCTTGGGCCTTTGCCATGGTCATTCAGTGCTAGTTCAGCACCCAGCCATCAGGAAAATAAGATGTCAAATAAAAGCATCAGATTGAACATTTCTAAAAGTGCTGTTGACAACAGCCATTGAAAAAGGTAGACTTTTGAAAAGGTGCTTTTTCCTACAAAGAAGGGAAGTCCACATGGAAATCAACAAGAAACAGTTCACCTAGATGCTTCAGATTACACCATATCCATACAGATCACTGAATTTCATAATACTATTGTCTATTTGCACTTTTTCACTGTTTCTTCTTGAAATGACAAGACCAAATAAAATAAAATAAAATGACTAGTAACATTTGGGTCAACTACAGAAACTTGTGCTAAAGGTTATGGACCTCAGGTTCCTTTTCTGTCACTAGTTTACAGGCAAATTCACATACTTCCCTCTCTTTCTTACTGGAGAATCAGGTATAAACTGCCATTTTCTGTGCAATTTTTTTGTGCAATTTTCCCCTGAAGGCTAACAGGTGACTTCTTTCCTCACTGCTCTGCTTATTATTATTCAACAACCCAAGCTAAATATGTCTCAGGGCATCTTTTACCCCTTCCTCTGAGACCAGGTCTGAGTGAGATTCAGGTGGTTACATCCCTGAAAGCCCTTCTATTTGGCCCTCCTTTTCGCCAGTGCTGAAGCTCTCTGTGCAGAATGGTTGCTGATTTTGAGTCTCTGTAGCAAACATATGACTCTCCAGACACTGCGTGGAAAGCTTTGGTGCTTAGCTGGATATTGAATCCCACTTCCAGGATAGCACTCATAAGAAATCCTTGTTTTATCCATTCTGACTCTTCCTTTCCCTCACCATATCTTTCCAGCTTGGGTGTGGAGACCACAAACACAATCAACACTATGAGACACTTAGAACGTCCAACTGGGTCTACATAAGTACCTGAGAGGGAAAGGTGCATTTGAATCAAGGAGTTAGTTATCCATGCAAAAGGAAAACCACTCTTCTTTTTCTGACTTATCTAGATGAGAAACTGACAGAAAACAAGAATAGCTTGAAGTTGGGTAAAAGAGAGGGGGAGTGTCAAAACTAGGGAAGGCCTCTTTGACCCCAAGGCTCCCTTCAAAGATTTCTCTTAGTTGAAAAAGAAAGCAAATATTAGGAGTGCTCCCCCCATCTGCACTAGCTTCTTCCTCTGCTCTTCTTATTGTTATTTCCATTTTATAGGTACAGAAACAGAAGCAAAACCTGTGTACATGACTTCCTGAAAATGACCGTGGCCGAACTGTGAACCATCACAAACCATGTATTCTACCTTATCAGGCCACGATGCCTCTGTCTCCTGCACTACCTCTTCCCTGCTCATTAAAACCTTTTCAGAAGGATAAATGTGTGTCTCATGTTTCTTGTCCAAAAGAATTATTAGAGAACAGATCATGACCAGCAAACCAAGATCGGGTGTAACAAATGCCATCCATTTCCACCTCCATTTTGATGTGTAACCCCTCCACTTAGAATACTAGGAGCCATAAAATGTGCCTCTGAGCTCTCTTTCAGTGCAAATGCAGGAATCCTGTACAACACCCACATCAAAGCAGTTCTTTGAGAAACAGCGATCTGGGTTTATGAGCTGTCACACCAGACTCTTACATGGTGAGTATTTGAACAAGAGGAGGATAAAATCACACTCTGAATTTCTCTACTCCAGAATCTCCTCCAGTATCAGCCGCTTCTCGGAAACAAAAGCAGCAAGTAGATCTGACTTCTGGGAATGTCTCATTCCAAACTCTAGTAGTCATAAGTAATTTATACCCCAAAGCAAAGGTCTTCTTTCTTCCAAATGCCTTACAGCATTAGTTCTAATAGCCACATGGAAACAAGTTTCCAATTATACTGAATGTATTTTCATATATCTATTTTAATAATAAAATACAGATCTTTTACCCAGTGCTTTAAGGGAGAAATATCTGATTTAGTGAGTGAGGTAACATTAGAGAGTAAGAGCCTCGCTGCAGGCATCTAGAAGCAGCTCTTGTTCATGCGCAGATGAATTCCATGACATATAGTAAGTGAGTCCAGCATTTCTTGGGGACACAGGACCAATCGCATATGCACCGGACAGATGCTCACAGTCAGTCACATCTGGCATGTGCTGAACTTTCTGCGTGTGCTTGTATATCTCTGCACAGAAGACCCTGGATAAAATAATGGCAACTTCAAATAATCACCTTAGTCTTTTTCATATCAGCAAACAGCTGCTTCATAGCATCCCTGCTTACTGTCAAAAGCAGCACAGAGAAGATGAAGAAATAACAGACACTGGACTCAATGACAGGCTGAGTCACTGGGACATGCAGAGTTGTAGCAGTCATCAAAGCAGCAAAGAGATGCCAAAAAGATGACAGATACATTGGTTCTACGAAAGACAGCAATGGAAGATATGTGTCCCCCAGCTTTAGAGTATGTAAAGGAGGAGAAGAGGGAAACCAACAATCAGTGATCTTACCAAGAGACTTCTATAATCTCTTTGGTGATTGAACATGCTGAAGAATATTCCTTCTCACCTGGTTTTCCAGTGAGAACTGGGATTAATGTGCTTTGTGCTAGAAGCATTCTTGCCCTTTGCTTTAAAGCACTGTGTACAGAAAGAGGCTGGATTAAGTTCAGTTTTTCTTAATGATTGTCATGAAAAATAAGGAGAAAATGGAAGAGTCATGATGGAGAACTCCATTGTAGAAACAAACAATGAACACCCAGGAAGAAAACAACAGTTACATGATCTTTCTAGGGCAACAATAGCTAATGAGAGCTATTAGCACTATTTCTTTTTTTCCTAGTTAAAAAAAAAGCAAAACCAAACTGTGCCAATTTTCATTTCCTTAGACAAATGACATACTAAAGAACTCAGTATACTTTCTCTTCTTATAATTTCTCCTTCCTCACTGACTTCATTCTAAAGAACAGATACACAAAATAAAGAGATTTTTGGTGGTTATAACTTGTGGTTATTTGAGCTCTGTGTGCACTTGCACTCATATAATACAACCGGACAAGGAGATTTAATCTTCATGCAAACGAATAATAAGCAGTAGATGACTCATGATGACACAGGCAACACACAGCCATTATACACATAGCTTTTGACACATCATCCAATATTCATTTCTATGCTTCAGTTTATGGCCTCTTCTTTGACTTTGAAAATGTTGATTTCCTTTTGTTGTAGATTATTAGCAACATTTGTGGCACTTGATTGCTTCTGCTTAACCATGGGGACAGGCAAGAGGTGAAAGGGAACTCCCTGAATAGAAAGAAATATCCAGTAGGGCTCAGACTGTCACTCAAGTTGCTAACTTCCAGAAAACATATTTCATCCCCTCCAGGCCAGCCATTATAACATATTCATTTTAATATTTCCTCTAAGGGATGATTCAGTCATGCTAATCATAGTCATATTCTATCAATAAAGCCAATGACAGCAATGGCAGTATTCCCAGAGTCAAATGCAGCAATTAGAGCCCCTCAGACAGCATACTGCAATACCTTCCACTACCACTTCTGCTCTGTAGTGGTGGCTGCTGTTTTGACAGCCCAATGCCAGACCTTGATGCTACACACCAGCCAACATTTCAGCTCCATACACAATACAGCTACACATACACAAAGACAGTAGAAGTACCAACATTTGCAGTTCTCATGGGCTCTAAGGTGATGTAAAAGGGATCTCCATTTCTGAAAATCTTCGTATCACAGCATAAAAAGGTAGGTAAGAGATCTGAGCATGACTGTAACAAAGCATTGACAGGAATAGAACTGGGAAACCCTATTCCTTACAACCAGTTACCCATAGCAGAAACAGCAAATCTTCAAAGTACAAAGCTGTTGTAAAAGCAATGTTTGCTGAAAAGTCCTAGCGAACAACGCTGTTCCAATCCACTTCATAAAGCCTTTGTTAGCGATGTGTCACTGTTCGCTCTTAGATTAAATAGTCCTTAAGCGCCAGTGAGCAGGGAACTTGTATCACTATAGATTTCACAGGGTCTTCAGAAATGACCTCCTGTTGGTAAGTGTTCAGGAATGAGCAGTGTGGTGAGGGTACTGTAGGTAGCAGTATGGTGCCAAATCTCCCTCACTCCAGCTTTTGGGAAAGGTGTGCCCAGCTTAGTCTATTTTTTTATGGTTCTTCTCTGAATAAAGCCAGAGAAACAATCAAATAACTACAGGAATGTCTCACTCATATATGTTTGTATATACATACCCACATACACACACATACGACTATATAGAACTTGATTTTTTCTTAGTGGAGTATAATCATTTAAGAGCAAGTGAGAAATTCCAAGATGGAGATCAAAAGCTCCTTGAATGGAGAAGAAAAATACAGCGTTGCATTTGTCCAAAAACTGAGCATGATAATCACAACTCTGTCTGGTTTTGGGGCAAACAAGATTTTTAAGAAACCCTAGGATATCTGTTGTTTAAATAAAGAGAAGCTGATCAACCCAGATTTGAGCAATGTATCCCCAAACAGCCCCCACACCAATAATGACAGATAATGATTTTGATTTGACATGGAAGGACATGAGAGAAGCCTGCAGACTTTATTTGTTCATTTTGAAAGATAGCTGGTGTTTGATAAGGGGGGAGACATCAAAACTCTGTTTACAGCTTTGCCCATAATCCTCTTCAGCATCCCTGCCACTCAGTACCAGTATCACAAAACTAGTTCTGGGAAAACTTCCATGGGATGTGAGCAGTTTTTCACAAATAAGCTCAGGGACCTTTATCCCAGAACAGAAGTGTGACTTTTAGCCATCTAAACTCATGCAAAATGAATTCCTCCCCAACATGTTACACTTTATTAACAACGCTGCTAGAGACTCACCTAAGAAGACCTCAGTGCTGTGTCTAACCAGCAAATGGAGCAGCAACAGCCAGTATTTGTCATCCCAACTGATATTTTTCTGCTATTTAGAAACCACTGAATTTGGATGACTGTGATAAGTCTTAGTATCCAATGTAACTGACTGCTTCAA